CTCAGGTTGTCAATAGCTAGTGTTGAGGTTGTAAATAAATTATTACAATAAAACTAATGGGGTAAATAGGTAATTTCATAATTTCAATTTATTATACATAGGTCCTTGGGAACTTGAGAGTTATTTTGGGATTTCCATAGACTTTTTATGAATTAATTATCTTGTGTGGGACCTATGTGTAATGTTTTCAAAATTCTTTGATGGCTGGTTGCTGGAGCTCCAGCCATCAAAGATCAAAGGTTCAGCCATCAACACTCTAGTGATAGTTGACCTTTCTTTAAAAAAAGTAATAATAATAATACAAAAGCATAATTATCTTTTCACTCATAATATCTGATTTCATTCTGATCAAAAGAGCGCAATGAAATTTTATAATTTTATTGAGGCTGTTGGAAATTAAGTTTGTTTAGTAGGGTAACTACAATTTTCCCTTTTATTTTGTCAGATAAGAAGGTTCAAAACAATGTTGTTTTACTTAATAGCAAGGTAAAAAAAATGAACCGGACTGGCCAATTCAACTGAAAAACCAGTGAATCGGTCTCCAGTTCGGTTAGGTTTGGTTGTTGGACCAAAGATTAATAGCAACCGATGCTATATTATGTAACCCGCCAGTGGAGCTGGTTACCCAATTTAATTTTCTGGGAAAGAAGTCAAAGGTTAAGTTGGTAAGGAAAGAAGAAAAGAGCGAAAAGGAGGAAAAATAACAGACATGCAGAGAGACACCAAAAAGAAAAGGAGGAATCAGTGAGCAGCGAGGGAGGAGAGATTCAAGCTATAAAAAAGGAAACAGATGAGAAGAAGAAAGTATTAGCAAGCGGCGGTAGATATCCTGATTAATGGAGATGGGGTTGCTCAAGCTCACTCCTGGCGTGTTAAAGACCTGACGTGCGGTAGAGGCAAGGTTTAGATGAATCCCAATGAGCCAATAAAAGAGGGGAAAGAAAGTTATTCTTTTAACGTAATATTTGCTATTAAAATAGAATAAAAACGAAAAGTGGGGTTGTATGTAGCTCACAAGTCATACAACTGCTCAATCCAAATAATCATTGTTTCCTCAATTCAAATAATCTATTGGACTTATTAATCAATCTTAATAACAACCATTTATAAAAATCCCCCAATTTTTACGCATAGAATTTTCAACCTTCAATATGCTCAATATTAAAATCCAATCAACATCAACTATCTAAATCGGCTAAAACTCTTATCTAATTTCAATAAACAAAACTCAACCATTAAAACACCTTAAAACACCATTTGAATTATTACATTTTCAAATTATATCAAGTTCCTCTTTCAAAAACAAACCCTAAGTTCAATATCACATATAAATCAAAATCTAACAAAACTGAACTAATTAAACACTTTATCTAACCCAAAAAACTTATTTAAACCCAACATGTTTGATGAAATCATCCTATTTTAAAATTACTAAAAACCCTAACCATTTAACTGTTCAAATAAAGAAACTGAAAATCTAAAAGAAAAGAGTAGAATAAAGGCTGGAAACACTTACTTTGTTATTTGAAAGCTTGAGTATACTCCTAGAGACCGAAATCCACAAGTCTTAGCAAAGCTCAAACAACCCTTCACTCCAAACCTTCTAAAAATCACGTGTGAAACTGATTTTATGACCTGGTTTTTGGTGCATTCACTATGGATTTGCCATAACAAACCCATAATGAATGACGTTAAAAAAATTACCCTATCTATCATGAAATTCGCCACGGTGTTCACCATGAGAACTTACAGCGAATGGTACGTAATAAGAAACCACCCAACTTTAAAAATGATATCATTTGCCCTTGAAAATGATAATTTACTAAGATTGTTCAAAAAGTGCAAAGATATGGCTTCAAATTATTATCCTTAGTACCTCTAATCCTTAGTTAACCTCAATCAACAATATTAACCTTTAATTTTCACACAAATTTAACGATTAAGCCCTCTAATCCTCGAAATTAAGAACTAGGTGGTTACATGATGTATATTACCAGGTTATGGCTCATTCATACACTCTGATTTATTTTGTATGCTTTTGATTAGCTGCTCTAGATTTGAGTGCTTGTAAAAGGGGGGAAGCTTCATGGAGCACCATGATTGTTAGTTTGAAAAATTAAGTGATAATTAATATTCAGAAATGTTGTAGTTTTGTTGAGTTTAAAGTACGGGCTTCAAAAAGTCGAAAGCCCATAACGTAGTTTGCATATGAAATGATTTTGTAAGCTTTAATATTCATGATAGCTTTTAAATTATTTTGGTTCTGCTCTTTTCTATCATGGATACTTGCTTATGAAATCGTTTGATTCTTTTAATCATGATAGTTATTTTTGAAAAGTTAAGTATCATCTTTTTCTATCATGATTAATGATTCAAAAATAATGTACTACTTTCAGTTTTAATATAAAATCTTGTTTGACTTTTATTTTGATTTTAAATATAAGACATCAATCCATTTTATCTCTCATATTTATTCATTTCTTTCAAATTAGCCTTATAGTAGTTATACATGTTAAATGTTCAATCAAATAGTAGTTCTAATTAATACATATGATTCGTAAAGGTATTCTAGAGAAAACAACACTTAATTATTACAAATAACTAACTCAATAAGCTTTTTTAATTTACTCAAATTAATCAACTAGTTCTTATATTAAACATCAGAGGTAATATTTCATAATAAATTGGGATTCGGTAGGACCATTGTTATAAGGCGGCTGCCCGGCAGGGAGATCGTGAACGTTTTTTTTTTTTTTGGTACAAAGTTTGTGAACTTTGTTTTAAAAATTAAGGGGCATTCATCTTTTTGGCTGAATTTAAAAATCTGATTTTGGGCTTCAACATCTCAAAGAAATTATTAAAAGTCAGTGCATTATTATGAGATTTTGTTATTTGAAAGTTCCTTTTCCGTCACTTTTTCTATTAGCAATATTTTTTTATTTAACTATTGAATATATAAAAAAGAAAAAAAATTAAAATGTAAGTCCCTATAATTTCACCTTAATTTTAATTAGGCCCTTGTAACGTTTGCTCTTTTTTAGCTCATTATAAATTCCTTAGTTATCGGTATTTATCTCTATACTTATAATTTTTAAATTTGTGAGAGAAATGGCATTAGTAATTTATGGCAATGATTTTACTCAGCGAACATATGAATTAAGTTTTCCCATAGATCTAAATAAAATAAAAATTAAACAAGTTACGAACTATAAATATTTGGAAGGAGGCAGCTATGAGTATAGTAATTTTAATTTTGTGTTGATGATGATTAAATTTTATTTTATCATCTTATTATTTTATTTTATATTTTATTACAACTTAAATGTCGCTTAATCCATATCTGCATCAGTTCTAATTAACCTATTATGAGCATAAGAACTAATGCTTATAACTTGCAAAACTGTAAACACCCAATAAAAAGAAAAAATTATAAGAACCTAATTACAAATCAGTTAAAATAATAAAAAAGGTTAATATAATTTTTAGTTCTTGAAATATGAGTTTATTTTGGTTTTAATCTTTCAAATTTTAAACATGTAGTTTTAGTCCCTGAAATTTAATCCGTCTTAAAATATTAGTCCACGGAAGTGTAATGGTGTTAAAATCTGTTGAAGTATTATAAATAGTGTTACAGTAGTCATGTGAATTCACCAGATGGCCTAACTGAATCCTGTATAGATAATGGAGGGGGGGGGGGGGGGGGGAGGGGGTCCTCAAAACAAAGCTGTTTAGTCTCTTTTTTTCCTCATTGTTCATTTGAGGAGCTATTCATGTATAGCTTACACTTGAACGTAGCATTTAAGGCAAGTTTCCAGAGGCCATGTGTCCAGATATATAGCATGCACCTGAATGAGGTTCTATACACGCACACACTGTATCATGAAGCTTATATCCGAAAAACGATAAAATGCTGAAGTAACACGAACATGGTCCATAATAAGTGGGAAAGAAAAGGGCCCAGTAGAGTTGGTCCAACGAAAACAAGCAAACGAACCAAGAAAGCACCTTTGGCCCATAAAACTTAGGATAATTTGGGTTAAGGTCTTAAATTTTTTTACAAGAAAATATAACTTTTGTTCCATTTAACTCTCTGGGTCATAAAATTTAAGTCAAGTCAACTTTATTCCAAATAAAAAATTATCAAGACTCGCTTGTGCTAAACAAAGAAGCTAAACGGCTTTTTTTTTTTGGGGGGCAAAAGATACCATACTGATTGAGTTATTATAAGCTAAAATTCATGCATTGAATCAATAAATAAGAAAAAATTTGGCGGCCAAAAGTAAGTAACGAATCATTAGAATTGTAGTCAACTTTGATCTTCTTCTTTTTTCTTTTTTTTTTGACCTTGAGTCAACTTCGTTGAAAATCTCTACTATTACCAAATATCCTCATATTAACAACACGTCACCCTTAAGATGGTTGACTACGGTTGACAATAATTATAAAAACTAATCTATTAATGAAAAAATGGTAAGGACCTTAATCCATAGTTGATTATAAATTTTAGAATAAAAACCATGTTTTCTCAAACAGATTAGAAAAACTCATGGTTATCGTTTTACTCCTCGATCCTAAATATAAAACTCTTATACTAGTGTGTATAAGGATTTTATATTTAAGACCGGAGAAGTATCATTTAATTGGAACATTGATTATTAACCATTTATAAACTCTTAATTTTATAGTGAAAAAAATGTAACAGATAGTTAAAGGGTTAATGTGCAAATTTGCTTCAAAACTTTTTGTTGAAAAGTAGTAGGTACCTGAATGTGTTTCGAAAGTTTAAAATCATAACAATATTGTCTCCTATTATTAAAAAATTTATGTTGACCCTTAATATTTTTAATAGTAATGGACAATATTGTTACAATTTTAAACTTTTGAGACAAATTTGCTCCCAAAAACTTTCCAGGTACCCAGTGTTCCTGAGTAAAAACTTTTGGAACAAATTTGTACCTTAACCCGTAGTTAAAGATTAATATAAGAACATTTGGGTCAAATAATTAAAATTCTTATGAAATTTAAGGGTACAAATACGCGATAAGCATTACAGCAAATATTACACAATACTCAAGATAACTAAATATTAGAGCTAATTACCTCAACAATCCACAAAACAACAGTGCGTAAAATATAAAGAGATCATGTAACTCAAACTGAGTTGCAAATTCTCAATTTTTATGATTGAAATTAATCTCTTAGAACAATGGAGCTAATCTGGAAGCCAAATTCTGTTTCAATGCAGGCGAAACAGCATGCTCTCCGATCATCGTCTCCAACACTGTCTCTGAAAGTGCTTTGTTTTCTATTGCTCCTGCTACACTCTCTGGCAGTGTGCCGTCATCTGAGAAACTAATCTATAATTTTATAACAAAGAAGAAGTCATTTTTTATCCAAAAAAAAAAAGAAGAAGAAGTCATTTACGTGATAAATTAAATTGCTTGATGAATTGTTATTTTATTTTATTTTATTTTTTTGGTTTACTAATTAATTATTAGTTTCATTAACAACTATGATCATTACTTTAATGAACTTGGTGTCAATATCGTATTGCTTTTTAAAGACTTTGATAAGGACGTATCACCTATCATATATCTAATAGTAATAATGAAAATTAACTACATGGAAAAAAAAATACCATCAATATTCAATATGAGTGATTAAAAAAGTACCTTTCCAGAAAAAATAAGGATCCTTTCTTTCTTGATACATAAGAAAGTTGAACTTTTTACTTCTATAATGAACTAAATGAAATTTTATTCTAATTTTACATATATTTTTATTAATTATTAATTATGGGAAATCACCATAATTGTTTTTGCACATAAAACATATTTTAGCGCTATTCTATACACAACTAACTATCTTCCATTTCCATTTTAGAGTTGTTCGAGGTTTTGACTCAAAGATTAACCAGAAAATATAGGGCAAATTTACTAAATTATATTGAACTTATTGTATCATCTTTTGTTTTCCAATTTTCATGCGCAGTGTCTGAAAAAAGACACTACACATTAAACTACTAAAAAAACAATTTTAAAAAGAACGGAAAGGGATTATAACATAATATATACATATGTGTGTGTATAGACATAGTAATTTCAAGCTTCAAGTAGGATAAAATTCTTTTGTTGTGTTTGCTTTATTCGCATAGTTCGAGCTCCAAAATTTCAGTTAAAAAGATGTTGCGTCTAATTTATTTATCAATTTAAACTTACATTCATCCTGAATATCTCTGTACTTTAAATTTAAAATTTTTTCCTCCAAAAATATTCCTATTAGTTATATATATTAAGAGAGTTTTCATTAAAAATTAGTTTCAGTATAAATAATTAAAGAGGGTATACTACAAAAATCAACACATGATTTTTTACAAATAATTAGTTTAATTAATTTTTTTAATATTTATAAATTAATTATTTAGTTCATATATTTAGAATAAAAAAACTGTTAAATTAAATAGAATGAATTACTAACCGTTAGAGTTCCACTGGGGGATTGCAAGTAGAAAACGGAGGAGCCAATAGGGAAATTGTGAGGCTTGAAGATTTGAATGAACTTCTCAACGGCTTCAGCCTCTGCTTCGCCATAAGTGCCAACTGCTTTCATGTGACTCACACAGTTTTCTGAGACCTTCCTGACGTACTCTGCTCCTTCCAGTGGCAATATCTTGGACCCCCTTATTAATTTCTCGTATGGTCCTGCCATTTTCATATATATAATTAACTATAATTAACAAATTAAACTAAAACATAAAGTACTCTCTTGTGAGAATGAAACGCAATAACTTATGTTGGACATGAGTAGCAATGGTTGGGAGTTCAATCTTCAACCATTTTTTCAGTACTACCTTCAGTTTGAATATAAGAACTAGATAACTAATTAAGAAATATTAAAAAATTAATTAAGTTAGTTACATGTTACAAATATGTGTTGATCTCTCTAAACTATCCTCGTCATTCAGATGAGTTGGATAATTGAAATTATCCTTTAAAAAATATGGGAGACAAAGTGAATTGAGATCTTATTTTTAAGACCAAATCAAACTCTTAACTAGTTTTTATATCAAAGACCAAAAATAGTATATAGCAAGTCTAGGTCTATCCTTTTTGCACCTTTATTTATTTATTTTTGACTGGGCATCAAATGTGCATTCTTGCTGGAAGTAATCGCATTGAAAACACAATTCACTAGTATTGCAACTTCTATACTGGTTATCGTGGGGAAGGTGTAGAAGCTATAACCAATGATATTTTCGTAAATAAAACATAAAGAGTACTGATGACTTCTTACAACTAACTACATTTACACATATTACGTAAATGATACAAAAATCATTTTTCCTTCTGGCGTGACTTTACATTGAATGTGAGCACTTTTTCTAAAAAAAAATCAAACTCCGGTTCATCATATTATCAAGAACTAACCTCTTTCTGCTAAAGTCAACTCTAATTAATTTTACAGTTTTATTTTGTTAGAGGGATAAGTTTCTGCTACATGACAAAATGATATTACTTAGTTATTTATTATTTGAGAGAGAAAAAAGGAAATAAAATGCATAATGTGACTAAGTACCTTTGATGATGTCTCTGAAGAAATCAATGGAATTAAACAATTCATCTTGAGTTTTGCCGTTCCACTTAGAGGCCAGAGATGGGAATGCCTTGTCTTCCAAGTAAACTCCAATGCCTGTGAACTTTATGAATTGACCATTAATGGTCAGCCCTCTCACCCCTGCCCACCAATATTCAAAATCTTCAAAGTTAATTATATACCCCTCTAAGTTTATTTATGAGGCACTTCCAGTATTTTTTACACAGACTAAGAAAAATCTTAAATTTCATTAACTCTCATTTAAAATTTAATAACTTTTCAACTTTATCCCTATTTAATATATTTATACTTCTTCCGGTCCTAATTATAAGAATTAGTTGATCAATTTGAGGAGATTAAGAAAATAAGTTAAGTTAATTATTTATCATAAATAGATGTTGTTTTTCCTAAAATATCCTTGTTAAACAAGTGTCTTGACTAAAACTACTATTGTTAGAAGGACTATCTTGAAAAAAATGTATAAATATGATAAACAAAGTAAATTAGAGTTTTATATTTAGGACCAAAATAAAAGTCAAATAAGGTCTTATATTAAGAACTGGAGGTAGTACCTTATATAAACAAAGTCAACACTATAATAAATGAGGAGTAAAATTGTATATTCATATAAAGAAATTTTCTTAGTTTTCTATAAATAAGATTAAAAAATGTCTTCTCTCTCTGCCTATAAATAGGACTAGAGGAGTTTTCTTTTTCATAAAAGGTAGTATATATTTTTTATTCAAATCGAAATCATTCAACCTCGTCCTTTCATTATTTAGCGGAAATTTAAGATAAGTAGCACTAATCACTATCAGTGAATAACATAACGCTATTTAATTTATATTTTATATTGATATCAATGTTGATTATATTTTTCCTTTTTTGATTAATGTGTGAAATTAATAAAAACTTGATTGAAATTTTTGACTGAAGGATATATTAATTTGAACAAAATTTTAGAAGAAAAGTAAAAGACCCGTTAAAAAAACGGATATGGGAAATTAAATGACCACGACGATAGGATAAAAAAAGAGACCAATGTATAGTCGGGTTCACATGATGGCATGCCCATTCCGAAACAGCAGTTTTTAGGGGATGAGATGCCCCCTCCTCCTCAGTTTTTTTTTTTTTAAATTTTTATTAATTTTATTTCTTATTTATTGTGGCTAACTTGTATCTAACATTTTCAAATATTTTTTTATGTAATACTTAATATTCTAAATTAATTAATTTTAGTGTATTTAATATTCTGAATCATTTTTATAGTAACACCCAGTATTTTAAATTAATTATTTTTTATGAATCAAGCACCCTGAAGTTTTTTTTATAATAACATCCAGTATTCTAAGTTAATTAATTTTTAGTGCATTCAGTATTTTGAATAACTTTTTCAGTTACATGAAGTATCCTAAATTATTTTTTAATGAATTCAATATCCTAGTAACACCCAGTATCTTAAATTAATTAATTTTTAGTGCATTCAGAAGCCAATATCCTTAATTAATTAATTTTTAGTGTTATTGGAAAAATACTTTAAAATACTAGATTTACTAAAAAAAAATCAATCTATGTGTTACTAAAAAATGTTTTTAGATGTTGAATATACTAAAATTAATTAATTTAAATATTAAGTGCTACTAAAAAATATTTTAAAGTGTAAGATGCAAATTAACTCAAATAAATAAAAACAGAAAAGTAATTGAAAAAAAAAAAAAGAGGAGGGATCGCATCCCCAAACGGCAGCGTTTGGGCGATTAGCATGCTGTGCTCATATATTCGCTGAGGACGGGCGAATCGCCATTCAAATGACTTTGTAAAATATTCTGACTTTTATCTTAAATCTTAACGCCCCATGCTCCGCCAGCCTCAATAATTTCAAATATTTTATTCAAAGCAAAAGCAATCATAGTTATTCTTTAAATTCTGTTCGGTTGGAGAGTTGTTGAGGAGAGGAGAGAGGATTAGTGTGTTTGGTTAGGAAAAATAGAAAGGAGGGGAAGAAAGAAATTTGTCTTTTAGTGTTCCCTTCTAAATTTAGAATTTTTGGAAGGAGAGAAATATTATGTTTAATATTAACTAAATTACTTATACTAGCTTTTCTATATTTCAAGTTTCCCCTCTTATTAAAACCTTTTAGAGGGGAGAGAAATTTTTTGGGTAATATAATATGATAAGTGTACATTAATAGAGGGTGGTATATTACAATTATATAATATATACATATCATACTGTGTGTATTATAATTATATATCATATGTGTATTATAATTTTAGATGGAGCTGCAAACACGCATATATATTAATATATCATATCATAACGTGTATTATAATTATAATATATACATATCACATATATTAATACACATGCGTGTGTAGTATAATTATAAAATTAATGAGATAGAATGTTAAACTTTTTATCATATTTCCTAATTTTTTTTAATTTTATCATAACTTTTTTTATCACACGTAATTGAGGTAATTGGTTTTTTTGAAATTGATAAATTAAGAAATAATAATTTTAATATAAATATTGTAATAATAAAAAAATGAAGAAGTCTAAATATAAAGATAAGGGCATATTTATCAATTTATAATTACCTCCCCTCCCCTCCTCTTATGAAGCAAACAAAAAATCTCCCTTTCCCTCCCCTCCTCTTCAATCAAACAAAACCCATGACCTCCCTTCCGCTCCTCTTCTCTTTTTTAAATTAACCTCCCTCTCCTCCCCTTCTCTTCCTTCCACCGAACTAAACAAAGCTAATTAAAATATGATTAAGATGCTGTAGTGCCTCCGTTATTTGAAAAAGTAAAGATAGTTATGCTTCACGTGGAGCATAAGACTGCAAATTTTTCAAAAAAGGAAAGAAATATGATTAAAGACGAAAAAGCAAGCTTAATGGATGAGGACGAAGGAGCCACAGACCGTGCCAGGGGGGGAAAAAAGTAAACACACAGAAGGGATAAAAACTAGAAGGAAAAAATTAGGGAAAAAATCTCTGAAAAAAATGACTGATTTATTCATTATAATAATAGTAAATTCTCTGTCACTTAATTTTATAACATGCCCTGACAATATTTTAGCTGGATCACATCTAACCCATAAAGACACGCATATATGTGCACACACAGTGCATATCAGAAAGGGTAGAAGAGAAGAACCTGCACCACCGAGAAAATAGGACTTGCCGGAGCTGGCCGGAGGTGTCACGATGGCCGGGAACTCCAGGAACTCCACGGTGACTCCGGTGAGAGATGACACGGGGGCTGTCGCCATACCTGAAAGTGGTTGAGAGGGGAGATGACCAATATGCTTTATGGAATAGTTGTGTCTTGAGATATGAAGGAGAAAGGGCTCATCACACACATATATATAGAGACAAAGGAAATAGAAAAAGCAAAAGGTATTATATGGTTTTCTACGCGTTTTACTTTGTCAACTATACGAGAGATCCCTTAGTTAATAAAAAGACGACCAACAACCAAAACAAAGATATTCATATTAAAATGGGAGTATCTCTTACTTATGATTTTGTACAAATTATATATATATAGTCGTTGTCGAAATTTCTTATTTAATTTTTAATTAATTTTAATAATTTAGTCTTAAATAATGAGACAAAAAATTTTATTATATAACTAAAAAAGTTTATAAAACATATAATATTTTATTAGCATAAAATACAAAAATATGATACTCCTCATAATGTAACACCTAATTAACTAATTTAAGTGGATTAAGGATATTAGTTAAATTAATTAATATGATTTTTTTAAATACCCCAAATATTTTCCGTAATTCCCTCTATTCCTCTTCTACTTGACTATTGTTAAGAAAATATCAATAAGGTTATTTTTAAAAAAATTAATAAACATGTTAAATAGATTTTATATATAAGATTAACATCAACTATTTAATTAGGTTCTACATTAAAAACTAGAGGAGTAATAAGATTTGAACCGTCTTGATTTTCATTTGAATATGATCCACATAAGACATGCATGATGCCCATATTTTAAAATGTGCATAAATAATTAACAAGGGTTAGGTTTAATGAAAGGAGTTAGCTCTGTACAACGTGACGAATTAAAATTCGAATTCTTACTAGGAGTTAGGGGTAGCAGAAGGAGTTAGTCCTTACAAAGTAAAAAATTAAAGTTTGAATTTTCACCACGAGATGTGCCTACATGTGGTACTTAACAGTGCTTTGAATAAATAATACATATTCATTTTTTTTTTACTTTGAGTTTCCTATGGTTTTCACTACATTGTGAAAATATTTTTTATTTTAATCAACAACCAATTCACCCTCCTCTTGGGTGATTAGTCATCCTAACACATAGGTATAGGAAAAAACAAAGGTGCATAAATAATACATATGTCATGGCTTCTAGCCATGGCGACAATTAAATGGGAAGTGAGCTTCTCTAGACTAATAGTGTCTGGATAAAAACCAAATCGTGATTTTAAAAATAATGTTAAGATATATAAAATAAGTATATTTGAGAAATTTTACTCCGAACTATGTGAAAGCGCTTTTTAAAAAGTGCTTTTTTACGAGCCAAACACTCTCTTAATGACAATTTATGATGATTGGGGCCATTTTCTTTTGTATCATTTTATCTTTTAATGAAATTGTCTTAATATAAAAAAAATATGTTAAAAGTAAGTAGAATAGGGTCCTAAATTTGAGTAAAATTGAAAATCTATGGTATTTTTGTGGGTTTTTTTCCTCACTTTATATTTTATATTGATGAATATTCAATGTTGGCATCTTATTTTACAATTATTTTAAAATATTTGAGATCAACATTTTGAAAATAAATTTTTAATATGACTTTTTTCTTTAGAGTCATCAATCTCAATTATTTGTTCAATAATTGAAGTAGTTGTAGTTTTTTCTTTTTTACTAATAGAGTGAAGATGAGAAAATATTATTTATCTTTTCCAAAAAGAGCACAAGCCACTATAAATAAATATTATGCGCAAATATAGCTATAAACTTTTCAAAACATAACAAAAAATACCGAATTTGTTAATTCCAACAAATGTTTGTTACTTTTTCAGTTTATGAGCCCCATTTTATTGGGTGACAACTTCTTATCTCTTTTATGGTCAACTCTCTCATCCTTCCTCTCTGTCTCCTCGATTCTCCTCTGACCCTTCGTTTTTTTCACTTTTTGTAAGAATTATTTATTTAAAAAATATTTGAATAAAATAACAAATTTTAAGAAAAATTAATATTTTAATCTTTCAACTTTTAACTTATTCATAACTCAATCTCTCAACTATGACTCATTTTGACTTAATCTTTCAACTTTTAACTTAGTCCCTTATCTTTTTATTTTTATATTAGATGATCCTAATAATCTATAAGTCATTATGTACGAGACTAAGTTATGAGTGAGTTATAATTAAATGACAGATTTATAACTGAGCTTCCCTAAATTTTATGACTAAACTTTTTAAAATTTAATAGTACTTTGCAGATATATTTGGGTTGACGTACAAATTAATTTTTCTAAATTAATTTAAGGTGACTTATTTAATATTGTAAATTTTAAATAGTGAATAAATTAAGTAAAAAAATTTAATTTTTATTTGAAATTGAGTGTTCAAACTTTGTAGATAGAAAAAATATTTTTATTACCTTTCATATTTAATTTTAAAAAAAAATCTAGTAATAAATTTTTTATTCTTTTCAAATTTCTTTTTAAATAAATAATTCTTACAAAAAGTAAAAATTTTAGGGAAAAAAGGAAGAGAAAACAAGGGTAAGAGAGGAAGAGAGTAGAAAGAGAGAGAAGCAGTATAAAAGAGTTGTCCTAAAGAGACACCCTAGGTTAACACTTGGTAAAGTGAGACCCACGAGCCAACAAAATAACGGACATTTGTTACGATTAAGAAACTTAATATTTTTGTCCCGTTTTCAAAAGTCTATGTATATTTTTTTGCCCAACACTTATTTATGGTGGCTGGTACTTTTTTAGAAGAATTTTAATAAACTTTCTTAGTAGCTAATTAATATCAATCAACCTTAGAACATTTCAAAATTTTAGTCCACCTCCTGGACCAAAATGAAATTAAAATTTAAAGATAAAAATACAATAATACTCCTATTTTTTTAAAAAAAAACATTAATTGTCACCAGGGCTCTGACCTTTGGCTAGCCACTTGAGTGCTGGTGGCTGGAGAATTTTCTTTTTTTTCTTTTAAATAACTTGGTTGAGGTTTGAACCTATGACTCTGTAGCACATCAAAAGAACTGTGACTACTAAACCAACCAATTCACCTAATCATATGATGCAATATATATATATATATATAAAACAAAAGAAATGCAAATGGCCAAGTATAAATAAATAAGTGAAATTCCATGATTTACAAGTGAAATTCAATGATTTACAAGAAATATAAAGAAATTCACAACCTTAAATACAAGTGTGTGGGTGTAAATGAACAAATAAAATTCAGAGATTTACAACAAAAATTTGGTGGTTCATAAAAAACATAACAGAGTTCACAACCTCAAATACAAGTGTTTAAATTTGAATAAACAAGTGAAATTTCACGATTTACAACAAAAATTTCAGCAATTTACAAGAAGCATAAATATTACAAGACAAATAAGAAAATTCACAATTTCAAATACAAGTATTCATGTTTTTGGTAAATAAATGAATTTTAGTTGTAAATTGTTAAATTTTTGTTACAAATTGTCAAATTTCACTTGTTCATTTACACTTAAATTCTTGTATTTGGGGTTATGAATTCCCTTATATTTTTTGTAGATCGCCAAATTTGGGTTGTGAATTTTGAATTTTTGTTGTGAATCTCTAAATTTTACTTGCTCATTCACATCTAAACACTTGTATTGGGGTTATAAATTCTTTATATTTCTTGTAAATGGCCAAATTTTTGTTGTAAATTGTTTAATTTCACTTGTAAATTATTGAATTTCACTTGTTTATTTATATTTGAACACTTAAATTTGTCTTGTTATATATATTTTTCTTTGCATTGTATAATTAAGTGGATTGGTTGATTTGGTGGTCATAATTTTTTGTGTACCAAGGGGACATGGGTTCTAACCCACCCTTTGTCATCTTTTTTTTTTAAAAAAAAAAAAAATCCTCTAGCTACTGGAGCTCCAATGGCCTGCCATCGAAGGTTGGAGGTCTAGCCACTGGTGCTCAGGTGACCAGCACTAGAGGTTAAAGCTTCGACGACAGTTAATATTTTTTTAAAAAAAATAAAATGAGGGGTATTATTGTATTTTTATCTTTAAATTTTAATTTTATTTTGGTCTAAACGGATTTATTGAAATTTTAGAATGTTTTGGGGTTGACTGGTTTAATTAGCTACTAGGGTTTATTAAAATTCTCCCTACTTTTTTTTAAAAATAAGGAGTATTTTTTACTTATTTATTTTTATTAAATTATAATATAATTCAGCAAAAGTTTCCAGTCTTCAAAAAAGTCAAAGGCGAATTAAAAAAAATACAGAGTCAAATTGGCCTCCTACATAAATTAAGTTGGGCTAAATAAAACTGAATATGTGCATCCTGGCTATAGGTTCATCACGCTAAGAAAAGTTTCAACTTGCTGAAAGTCAAACGCGTACTGAAAAGAATACAGTCAAATTTGCCTCCTAATGAATTAAGTTCGGCGCCCATTAAAATAAAACTGGATATGTACATCCTGCCTATAGGGCCGCCCTAGTATAAGAGTTCCGCCGATTTGACTTCTATTTTCATTTTCTTTAATAATAAAAATTTAAGTGATTTTGATTTTAAATTTTACCTAGACCAAACATGTATTAGTGCTAAAAAATTCTCATCCAAAATAATTTCATATCACTCACTAATAAAGTCATCACATTAAGGCAAAATTAAACCAACATTCTTGTGGGATATGAGTTGCATCTTTATTAACCGAATCAACCATTATTGATTAATTTTTATATTCTATTAATATATCAATCTAAGTATTAAATAATAATATAAAAACTTATTCGTAGAATGGTAATTTTAAGTAGTTGTATTAAGATCCTAAATTCTGACCACTTTTAAGTTCTTGGGGTTTAGTCTATGATTAAATTTTATCGCAAAATTACCTGAACAGTTTAATTTGAAATCTGAAAAACAAAAAAGTGATGACAATACTTTAACAAGTTTTTTTTTATTTTATACTTGCCAAATAATAACATCTAATGCAGTAATACCTAATCTCATAAAACAAATTTTTTGCTGAGAGTCAATGTCAATAACAGTTTAACAATTTTAACTTAAAATGAGAACAACTAAACTAATGCAGCGACAAGTAATTTTA